CCAGGAATCAAACCAGGACATCTGAGTATATGGGACAATGCTCAATCCACACCAGCTCTGCCCCAAGGATATTTTTCCATTGATTTTTAGAATGGGAGAGAGAGAGAACATCCATGTGAGACAGACACATTGGTTGGTTTCCTCCCGCACAACCCCCACTGGAGCCAGGGATCGAACCTGCAACGCGGGTATGTACCATTGACCAGGAATCAAACCCGAGACCCTTCGGTGCACGGGCTGACGACTCTAACTGCTGAGCCCAACTGGCAGAGCTGTTTTGTTTTAGTTTGCATTTATTATCAGTGCACTTGTTTTTTTTGTGGACAGTTAGCTTCCCAAAAAGGGGGGGGAAATGCTGGCTTTGCAAGTTCAATTCTTTTTCTAGACTTATAAATTAGAAAATTTATTGTTTCCATGGGAGAAATTGGGACTTTGAAACGGGAATGTTTTAGGAAAATCTTTCTCTTGGAAAAGTAAATTAACTCAAAGGGCTATTTAGTAACCAATGTTACTAAATCACTCTATTTCCTATCCCAGAGTATCCAACCACATTGGCCAACATAATTTATCACATCCTTTGTGGTGAGATTAAATTTTGGTAAAGAAAAAATATACATAAACATTCCAATTACAATGTATACATAAAGATATTCCATCAATAAAATGCAGCATTAGTCCTGGCCAATTTGGCTCAGCAGTTAGAGCGTTGGCACGCGGACCAGAGAGTCTCGAGTTCGGTTCCCACTAGGGAACTGTTGCAGTTTGCCCCTGGCGCTGGTTGGGGTCATGTGGTTGGCGACCACTCCATGTGTCTCTCTCACATCGATGTTTCTCTCTCTTCCCCCCTCTCTCCCTCCCGCTCTATCTGAAGACAAATGCAAGGATGTCCTCGGGTGAGGATATAAATAAATAAATAAATATAAAATAAAATGCAGCATTAGAGACATCACAGAGTTAAATGTAAAAATTTCCCCATTAAGATTTGCTGAAGAATTAAAGTTGAGAAATTAAAATTTAAACAAAATCCTAACTTTTTGAGTCCAAAAGAATTGACTGAAATAAAAATCTTGTTTCCTTTTATTTCTAAAAATGTGAAGAAGTTAAGGTCAAGATCCTTCCTCCATAGCTTCTTTACATACTTTTAGCTAGAGGTTATAATCGGTGTCTAGAGTATGGAATCTTACTGATTTTTTAAAAAAATCCTCACCCGAGGGCATGCTGAGAGAGATAGAGTGGAGCGAGCGAGCGAGAGACAGAGAGAGACACATCGATGTGAGAGAGAAACATCAATTGGTTGCCTTCTGTCTGTGCCCTGACCGGAAATCTAACCAGCACCCTGTCTGTGCACAGGACTCCACTCAGCCAACTGAGCCACTCTAGCTGGGCCATATTGATTTTTAAATCAATAGAAAGATTAACTCTGTCACATTCAAATATTTTTTTCTCCAGTTTCTTAACTTAATTGTATCATTTAGTATTAAAATTTAAAAGATTACTTTCGTTTTTATGGGGCCAGAATAATTTTTATGTTTAATGTGTGACTTTAATTTGGTGATTATCTAATGTCGAATTTATTTGTAATAAAGGCATATAAATTTGTGTGGCCTGTTCCTTATTACTTTTCATTATATCAAATAGTTTGTATAGGATGTATTTTGTTAACTACCAGGCACTTAATTTACTTAGCCATATTTTGGGACATATTTTCATTTTACTGGGAAAAGTTCTTCAAATGTTCTGTACTATATAACTTTCTTAAAATAAACATGCTTCAGTGAAATTCTAGATAATGTTCAGATAAATATTCTTTATTAAATGAGATTTTTTTCCTATCCCCTTTTTTGTCCTACTTGTTCAATTTTTTTTTTTTTAGTACTGTATCTAATTTTTCTTTTCTTTCTTTCTTTTTCTTTTTTTTATTCTTAACCAATGATATTTTTTTCTTCATCTTCAGATAGAGAGCGATGGAGAGAGAGAGAAACATCGATGTGAGATAGAGACTCACTGACTGGTTGCCTCCTAGAGCCAGGGATGAACTGCAGCCAAGGTACATGCTCTTGACTGGAATGGAACCTGAGACTCATTGGTCTCCTGGCCGATGCGCTAACCACTGAGCAAGATTGGCTAGGGCATATCTAATTTTTCTTATTGAAATATTTTTTTTTTATCCTTACCTGAGGACACTTTTGCAATCATCTTCAATTAGAGCGAGAGGGAGAGAGAAACATCAGCATGAGAGAGACACATCAAGTGGTTGCCACCCGCATGACCCCAAACAGGGCCAGGGACAAACTGCAACCGATGCACGTGCCCCTAGCGGGAACCGAACCCGGGTCTCTCTGGACCTCAGGCCAACGCTTCAACTGCTGAGCCAAACCGGCCAGGGCTCTTAATGAAATATTTTATGCTTACGCACATTTACACTGTCCACACATGCACATATATATGTGTACCTAAAGTATAAAGAAGAATAAAACCAATACCTGTATATTCACTAGTCTACTTTAAAAATAGAATTATTACAATATTCAATGCTCATTTCTGGTAACATCTTTATCCTTTGTCCTTCATTCCTCTTTATTTGATAAGTCAGATGGTCGTATGTACAAATACCAATTGTAAGTTGAAAATATAGCTAAGTTGAAAATGCATTTAATCATTGGCTGATGTGGCTCAGTGGATAGATATCGGCTCAAGCACCAAATAGTCTGGGGTTCAATTCCCAGTTAAGGGCAAATTCCTAGGATGCAGGTTCGATCTCCAGCCTGGTGGGGGCGTATGGGAGGCAACCAATCGATGTGTCTCCCACATCAATGTTTCTCCCTCCCTCCCTCCCTCCCAATTTCTCTCAAAAAGAAAAAACAATGGAAAAAATATTCTGAGGTACAGATTAACAAAAAAAGGTGGCAGATTTAAAAAAAAAAGTGCATTTAATATTGCACTGTAGAGTATTGTAATTGAGTGGTGGGCTAGGAGCTGCAATTCACTGCCTGGCATTGTAAGTATTGTATGGTATATCACTAACCTGGGAAAATATCAATATTCAAAATTGGAAGTACGATTCTACTAAATTTTTATCGCTTTTGCACCAAGAAAAAGTAGAAAAATAGTCGAACTATTACAAGTTAGGGACCATTTGTATCTTTTTTCTTTATTGATTTTAGAGAGGAAGGGAGAGGGGGAGAGAGAGAAACATAGATGAGAGAGAACATCAGTTGGCCGCCTCCTGCATGCTCTCCCCTGGGGATTTGGCCCACAACTTGGGCATATGCCCTGACTAAAAATCGAACTGGCGACCTCTTGGTACATGGGTCAATGCTCAGCCACTGAGCCACACTGGCCAGGCACCATTTGTATCTTAAATTTGCTTCTGGCTTTGAACTCAAATACTGTTTTGTTCTGTGAATTGGTCATTGCTATGATTTGGGAGATTCATATTTTGCTGAATTATTGTATTTACTGTAGATGCAGATCCCAAGTTTATTCCATTGTTTAATGTTTACTTTTATCATATTTAGCTAGATGACATTGCCATCTGGTTATCTTGCTAAGCAATGAAGCAATCTAAAAGACAGTGTAAAACTAAAACTTCATTTGGAGACACAGTATAATATATATATTATTGTCAATCACTGTTATTCAAGTTAAGGATAAATGGTGATTCTATGATAGTCTTATACAAACTTTTACAGAGGCCTATTTTCTGTGGATTAATTTATTATAGTTGCCAAACTTGTATGTTGTTGTTTTTTATCCTCACCCGAGGATATTTTTCCATTTTTTGTACAGATAGAGTGGGAGGGAGAGAGAGGAAGGGAGAGAGAGAGAGAAACATCGACGTGAAGGGACACATCGAGTGGCTGCCACCCGCACAACCAACCAGGGCCGGGGACAAACTGCAACCGAAGTACGTGCCCTTAGCAGGAACCAAACCCGGGTCTCTCTGGACCGCAGGCCGATGCTCTAACCGCTGAGCCAAACTGGCCAGGGCTGTTTTCTTTTTTTTTTTATTAATTTAATTTTGTTACAGATGTTTCTCCTTTTTTTCCCCATTGACATCCTCTTCCCCATGCCCTCCACCCTGTCCAAACCTGTATGTTTTCAGGGACATATAGTTCGAAGTCTTCTGACTTATCTTGTGGATGCTCTTTAATGGACGTGTATTAATCTTATAGAAAAAATGTATCAAATTGGGAATTGAGCTACTAACTTACTAAATTGGAACATGTTATAATTTTTAAACGGTTAATATTTTCACTTCTCGCTTTGAACATTGAAGATCAGTTTGAACTTACCTTTGAAATGTAGTTGATTTCTTGTTAGAAATTTGAGTCTCAGAACTTTCTTTGGATTTTGTTGGAAAAAATGACTACACTGACTTACTGAAGTCTGTGTTGTAATAGTTACTTTGTTTTTTCTTCAAAAGCACTTCTGAGCATTGAATGAACCTCCCTCCAAGTGGCTTCAAGCTGCCAGGACACAGGCCTCCACCTAACACCCTTAATGTTCTCCTCAGCTCTTGTGCTGAACAGTTTGGCCTTCACAGTGACAGGCTCGTTGGGAGCTCTCCCTTCCCCAGAACTTTGCAGTAGCCCGATCGCACCACGTCAGTGATAGGAGCTGCTCCAGTCTTGTTTTTGGCAGCATTTACCTGTGTCTGCTCACTGACCAAGGTCCAGTTTATCAAGGTTGACAGTTGGGCAGAAGCTCTGGTTATGCCTCACATCAACTTTCCCAAAGGAGCCTGAGTGATATTTTTTGAAGTTGATCCTGTGATGATGCAAGCTACCAGCATTACCACGGCCTCCCAGGTGCTGCTGGTGCTTGCCTGCAGGATTACAGAGCCGGTCGGGAGCCCTGGCCATGGCTCACGTGGCCTAGAAGCTTCTGGGTCTCTCTGTCTGCATGGCATGTTGGTGGCTGAGATACAAGAGAGTTACTTTGTTAAATATATTTAATGAAGTGGTTGTAAAAACAATTCTATGTATTTTTTTTTTTAGAGCTCAGTTCCCCAAAAATTATAAAAGCAGGAAAACTCAAGACAAAGAAATCCAACAAGGTATGTCTTTACATGAAGTAGTTCTTAACTATTCTATATTAATTTTGAAAAGCATTGTGTTCTTAGATTATTGTGTATTTTTCTTCTAGTTGTATTATTGGTGGTGATTTAAAGTTAATATACCAGCATTTATGCAGACTCCCATATGCCTCTGTTATCCTGTTGATATCAATTGGGTCCGTGCCATGAAACAGTACTAGAAGTTACATAATAAGACCAAGCCATTCTTGTTTCAGCGTTCTCTTGTTTTGGACATACCTTTGGATTAACTTGGCAAACAGCCTGCGTGTATATATATGATATATAGCAATTTTTTTTATTGTTGTTAATCCTCACCTGAGGATATTTTCCCATTGATTTTTACAGAAAGTGGAAGGGGAGGGAGGGAGGGTGGGAGAGAGAGAAACAAACATCGATGTGAGAGAGACACGCATCTATTGGTAGCCTCCTGCACAACCCTGACTGGGGCCGGGGATCAAACTTGCAAGCCAGGTACATACCCTTGACTGGAAATCGAACCTGTGACCCTTTGGTCCGAGGGCCAATGCTCTAACCTGAACTAAACTGGGCAGAGTTGAATGTAGGTGATTTTTACAATTGATTCCACTTTTAGAAACTATTTTTTATATTTAAAATTTCTAATTTGCAGACATAACTCTTATTTATTACTTCTTAGGCTAGTGATTTCAGCGATATGGCAAATTGGCCAACACCAAGTGAATTAGTGAACACTGAAGTGAGTATTGTTTTAAGGCTTTCTTTATATATCTATATATAGGGAAAAGATTCTTATTTCAACATGCAGAATTTATTTTACTGCAAATTTAAAGAATCACATAAAAAAGTGCCTGCATTTTATTTTATTTATTTTAAATCCTCACCTGAGGATGCTTTTTTTCTATTTATCTTCAGATAGCATGGGTTGGGGTTGGGGAGAGAGAGAAACATCGATGTAAGAGAGACATCGATTGGTTGCTTCCTGCATGACCCAGACCAGGGCCAGGGACCAAGCCACAACCGAGCTTCGTGCCCTTGACTAGAATTGAACTTGGGACTCTTCTGTCCATGGGCTGATGCTCTAACTGCTGAGCTAAACCGGCCAGACAGTTTTGCCCACTTTAATATAATGTGTCTAATTAAAGCCAATTTTGTTTCAGAATTTATGCTGTTTGTTTTTTTCTGATTTATAATATTTCCAATATATGTTGAAGTGCTATGTGTGTATATATACACTATATATACACGCATATGATATATATATACACACACACACACACATATCTATCACATCAAGAAGTGTTCAATGAATAGAATTTTAATTTAATTTTAACGATGGAAGAAGCTCCAAAAGATGTTTCTGAGATATTTTATCAAGGGGATTTTTAGAGTAATAGCATATGTGATTATACATGTTTTCATCTGATACTGTTCACATTGCTATTTGTAACTTGTGCAGTATGTAGTTGTAGATAATATATATTAAACAGCTTAAGTGGTATGTAAGTAGCATATAATGAACTACAAAGTGGACTATTTGATAAGTTTTGACCTATATAAACCTGTGGAACCATCACTGCAATCAAGATAATGGACTTGACCATTACCCTAAAAGTTTTCTCCCGCACCTTTGTCATTCTCCCTGTCATCCTTCCATCGTCCCAGGCATGCCTGGAAGTGGAGTCATACAGTATGCTTGGTTTTTTTTCGGGGGCGGGGGGGGGGGGCTTATTCAGCTTAATTACTTTAAGATTTATTTGTGTTATGTGTATCTGTAGTTCATTTCTTACTGCTGAGTAGGAGTATTGTATAGCCGTAACGCTGTTTGTCCATTCACCTATTGATGGACATTTATGTTGATTCTACTTATTTTTTGGCTTGTAAAAATAAAGCTGTTATATTAACATTTGTGTGTGAAATTTGGCAAGGATATATACATTCATTTTTCTTGGGTAAATACCTAGGAGTGGAATGGCCACATTGTATGGTAGCTATTTGTTTAGCTTTTCAAGAAACTACCAAACTTTTTATTCCTACTGTCAGTGTATGAGAATTCTAGTTATTCCACATACCAACTAAGACTCTGGTCACTTTTAATTTTAGTCATCATGGTAGGTTTGTGGTCGTATCACATTGTAGTTTCAATTTGCATTTCTCTGACATGATGTCAAGCACCTTTTCATGTGCATTCACCATCAGAGTATTTTTTAATGAAGCAGTTGTTCAACTCTAGTTCATTTCTTAGAAATTGAAGTGTTTTCTCATTATTGTATTTTGAGAGTTCATTATACAGGGTGGGGCAAAAGTAGATTTACAGTTGTGAGTACACGAAACAGTTTATTCTTGTTTTTTTTCTAGAGATAGAGGAAGGAGGGGAGAGAGATGGACAACATCGATGTGAGAGAGAAACGTCTAGCGGCGCCCCCTACTGGGGATGGAGCCTGCAACCCCCTGGGCATGTGCCCTGACCAGGAATTGAACCTGGACCTCTCAGTCCATGGGGCGATGCTTAGTCCACTGAGCCACACCGGCTGGGCAAGATACAAGTTCTTTATCAAATACTTAGAAAATATTTTCTCCCAGGCTGTGGCTTGACTTTTCTCTTAACAGTATCTTTTTTTTTTATTAATTAATTTTTGTTACAGATGTTTCTCCTTTTTCCCCCCACTGATTCCCCCCTCCCCCTCCCTCCCTGCCCTTTCCCCAGTTTGTTGTCCATGTCCACTGTTCATGCATACGTGCATATAAGTTCTGTGGTTTATCTCTCCCCCAACACCACCCCTCTTCTGGGGATTGTCATTCTGTACCCCACTTCCACGTCTCTGGGACTACTCCATTCCTCAGACTGTTATGTTCATTATCCACAAATAAGTGAGATCATATGAAACTTGTCTTTCTCTGTTTGGCTTGTTTCACTTAGGATGATACTTTCCAGGTCCCTCCATGTAGTCTCAAAGGATAAGAGATCTTTCTTTCTTACAGCTGCGTACTACTCCATTGTGTATATGTACCACAGCTTTTTTATCCATTCATCTACTGATGGACACTTGGGCTGTTTCCAGATCTTAGTTATTGTATCTTAACAGTATCTTGTGAAAAATAATTTTTTATTTTTTAGAAGTTGGTATTTGTTTTGCAATATATAGGTAAGGTATATTACCACAGATTTTTGGATATATTAGTAAAAATTATTTCATTCAGAAATTCTTTTTGCAGTGTCAGAGTGTCATCAACCAAGGAAATAAGAAGCTACAAAATAAAAAAGAAAGAGAAGACAAATTTGAAAAGAGAAGTAACAGTGAGAGCAAAGAAAGCCGGGAAACAAAATTAGATGGTCCTGGTGAAAATGTCAGTGAGGATGAAGCTCAGTCAAGTAATCAACGAAAGAAAGGTTAGTTCAAATATGTTCGTTTTAGTTTTATTTTCTGGAAGAAAGTTGTAGTAAGGAATAATTGTACTTAATTGATTCCAGGTAATCACCAGGGGTCCAGTGGGTATTTTTGGGTTTCTTCAGTATGCCGTCTGCAGTGGTTTTTGTAACATTCATTTCTGAACTATTAGGCTTTCCTTTTTTTGACTTGTTATTTATGTAAGAATGAAATGAAGCTCCACTTATAGAGATGAGTGTGGATATATGACTGGAAAGTTGTATAATAACTATTATTCGTTTATTCATTATTGGGTTTGGAGAGAGGAAGGGGGAGAGAGAGAGAGGGGAAAAGAAATTAATGAGAAACATGATTGGCTGCCTCTCACACGCACCCAGACTGGGATAGAACTCATGTGTGCCCTGACTGGGAACTGAACCTGCCACCACAGATGACGCTCCAGCCAACTGAGCCACTCTGGCCAGGGAGTGATAACTGTTAAAATCTGCATCGGAACAGTTGCTTGTCTTTCAGTGAGTTCTGAGAAAGTGTTTTTCTAAGAGAAAAGTGGGAACAACTTTGGCCAGCTTTCTTTACTCATAGCATGCCTTCATTAAATTACAGTTTGAAAAAAAGAAATACTCTTTACATCCTTTTCCATATTCTTTTCAAAATATTTCATGTGTCACAGTATGATTTAACTGCTTTGTGAAACCATATACTCATCAGTGTTCTGAGCCTAGGGAAAAGTGTCTGCAGGGGCCTTTTGGCAGAAATAAATTATATATCTATATCTGTGGGTGTGTGTGTGTAAATGTTGTTTGTTTGTTTGTTTGTTTTGGTGGTACGTGCCCCTAGCGGGAACCGAACCCTGGACTCTCTGGTCCGCAGGCCGACGCTCAGCCACTGAGCCAAACTGGCCAGGGCATATAAATGTATTTTTTTTAGAGAGAGAGGAAGGGAGAGAGAAATAGAAACATTGATCTGAGAGAAAAACATTGATCAAGCTGCCTCCTGCATGCCTCCCACTGGGGTCGGGCCCACAACCCTGGCTTACGCCCTGCATGGGAATTGAACCTGGACCTTCCAGTCCATGGGAGGATGCTCACTTCACACCGCTGGGCAGGCAGAAAAAAATGTTCAGCTGTCAGAAGGTTAGTAGCTGAGGCGAGGCGAACATTGGAGAGAGTGGCAGGAGATGCTCCTGGAGAGGTAGGCACAGTCCACATTATGCAGGGTTCAAAGTTAGAATTGGCATTTTGATTTCCATGGGGAAATGCGGCACCATTTTAATTCGTGGAGATTGTAAGGCATGAGAGGGGACATTTCATAATGTAGGAGCTAGCCAACTTCTTTAGTAATGGAAGCAGCAATCTATCATGTATTGAGCACTTCTTTGATTTTTATTTTAATGATTATCTAATCATTAGCTGCAGGGTGAGCATTAGGCTCACTTGGAACAATGAGCCAAGGCTTATTGCTCAAAAGTGGTACCAACAGGACAACCATGTGGTTACTAGAAAAAAATTTCCCCAGTTTAAACATTTTTCATGCTTCTTAGACACATAATGGGCTTTTTTTTGTTTTTATCCTAATCCGAGGACATTTTTCCATTTTTTTGTTCAGACAGAGCGGGAGGGAGAGAGAGGAAGAGAGAAAGAGAAACATCGACGTGAAAGGGACACATCGAGTGGCTGCCACCTGCACAACCAACCAGGGCTGGGGACAAACTGCAACCGAAGTACATGCCCTTAGCGGGAACCGAACCCGGGTCTCTCTGGACCACAGGCCGACACTCTAACCACTGAGCCAAACTAGCCACGGCCATAATGGTCTTTTTTGCCTGTCTAGAATTCATACAGATGGCAGATCTGTCATCCTGCCCTAAGATTAGTCTTCCTTGTTAATTGCTTCAATTAAAATTATCAGCCAACACTAAAATCCAGGTGTTTATAGTTAGAGTGATTTATATACTCAAGTTATGAATTGACTCTCCTTAGTGCACATATTTTTATCTTCAAACGAAAGTCTTGTTTACGCCAAAGAATTTCTTGATATAATTTATAGTCTTTAAAGTACTTTAGATTATTTCATATTCTCTTTTTCTCATCTGTCCATATGTTGCAGGATTTAAAGGAAATCAGAGAGGGCAAAGAAAGTTGCTCTCTAATATTTTTATGGCAAATGTAGTTGCCCACTAATACTTTCTTTCCCTTGATTACCTTAGCAGTGTTTCCTTTGCTCATGAGTCCTTTTGTTTAGTAAAAAGAAAAAAAAATGTATTGGGCAGAAGACTGAACACTTTGGAACCCTAACTCTGAAATCCACGAATAGGTAATCTTGAGAATTACATCATAACAATCACACAGTCTTTTAGTCAAGAAGACAAGTTAGATTGCTTGTATCTCTTAAGAAGTTAGGAAAATGTGCGTAGTAACTTTAAAAAGATTTATCAAATACAGTTAGACACATTTTATACTGAAACTGTTTTATTAGTAGCAATGCTAGATAAGTCAGTATTTTAGATAGTGATTTGAAACTAAACTTTTTTGAATCACTAGCCAGGCTTTCCAGTGTGTACCTTATAATGTTTTATCAGGAATACCCCATTCTCAAGCCTAAGAATCAAGTACTAGATGGGAGTAGTGTGCACACATATTATTTTTTAATACTTTATCCATCAGACTTAAACAGAAGAATGAGCATTTTACTTAAAAGCAAAATAATTCCAATGATACTTCATCACTGGCTTTTCACTTAATTTTTAGAAATACTATTTGCACAAAATACTTTATTAAGGAACCGTGTAAGAAGAAAATTATTTTGGTGCTCTACAGATAATCCCTTTAAGGACAAATTAAGTTTCATTTAATTAAAATTTAGAGTTATTTTTAAAATTTTTTATTTTATTTTTTCATCACCATCTATCCCCTCTATGCCCTCCTCCACCCACCCCCCGCAGACATCATGCTTTTGTCCATGTATGCTGTCTTTTTTTTTTTTGCTCAATCCCTCCAACACCACCCCCAACACTTCCTTATCACCACCACCAGAGCTGTCTGCCTGCTCTCTATCTATGAGTCTGTCTCTATTTTACTATTTTAGTTTAGTTTGTTCATTGAGTTCCACATGAGTGAAATTTTATGGTACTTGCCTTTCTCTTACTGGCTTATTTCACTAACAATGTTCTCCAGGTCCATCCGTGCTGTCGCAATGGGTAAAATTTTCTTTCTATTTACAGCAGAGTAATATTCCATTGTGTAAAATGTACCACAGCTTTTTTTTTTTTTGCATTTTATTTATTTATTTTTATTAATTAATTTTTGTTACAGATGTTTCTCCTTTTTCCCCCACTGATTCCCCCCTTTCCCGCCCTCCCTGCCCTGTCCCCAGTTTGTTGTCCATGTCCACTGTTCATGCACACATGCATATAAGTTCTGTGGTTTATCTCTCCCCCACCCCCCACCCCTTCTGGGGACTGTCAGTCTGTACCCCACTTCCACGTCTCTGGGACTACTCCATTCCTCAGACTGTTATGTTCATTATATTCCGCAAATAAGTGAGATCATGTGAAACTTGTTTTTCTCTGTTTTGCTTGTTTCACTTAGGATGATACTTTCCAGGTCCCTCCATGTAGTCTCAAAGGATAAGAGATCTTTCTTTCTTACAGCTGTGCAGTACGCCATTGTGTATATGTACCACTGCTTTTTTATCCATTCATCTACTGATGGACACTTGGGCTGTTTCCAGATCTTAGCTATTGTAAATAGTGCTGCTATGAACATGGGGGTACATATATTCTTTCTGATTGGTGTTTCAGGCTTCTTAGGGTATATTGCTGGAAGTGGAATCACTGGGTCAAATGGAAGTTCAATTTTTAATTTTTTGGATGATACTTTCCAGGTCCCTCCATGTAGTCTCAAAGGATAAGAGATCTTTCTTACAGCTGCGTAGTACTCCACTGTGTATATGTACCATAGCTTTTTTATCCTCTCATCTACTGATGGACACTTGGGCTGCTTCCAAATCTTGGCTATTGTAAAAAATGCTGCAGTGAACATGGGGTATATATATTCTTTTGAATTAGTGTTTTGGGTTTCCTTGGATAAATTCCCAGAATTGGAATTGCTGAGTCATAAGGCATTTAGTTCCATTTTAAATTTTTTGTGGTAACGCCATACTGCTTTCCACAGTGGCTGCACCAGTCTGCATTCCACCAACAGTGCACGAGGGTTTCCTTTTTCTCCACGTCCTCACCGGCACTTGTTGACTTATTGATGATAGCTATTATGACAGGTGTGAGGTGATATCTCAAGAGTCCTTTCAAAATTACAAAACTTTATTTGCAATTATGCGTTTTCATTAAATTATATTTTTTCTCCTTTTTCCGCCTAGACACCTCCCTCCCTATTCTGCCCCCGCCCCCAGCATTGTTGTCTATGTCCATTGGTTACACATACATGCATGTAAGTTTCTTGGTCTGTCTCCCCCTCCTCCCTCCCCGTGTCATTAAATGATTTTATTGTGTTTTCTTCAAGCTAATAAGCACAAGTGGGTACCACTCCACTTAAATGATGTAAGACCAGATAGTCAAGAAAGACCAGGATCCCGGAACAGCTCAAGATGTCAACCTGAAACAAACAAATCATCACATAACAGTAGGAGAAATGATACACGAAGTAAGTTACACTCTGAGAGAAAAATGACTCAAGAACTTTGTCTTACTGCTTATTATTTTAATAGCCATGTATAGTATAAACTATTTTAGAGTAAGTTGCAGACATTGTTTCTCTTCAACCCTGAATACCTTCAGAGTCTATATTGTAAGAACAGTAATCCAGTGTGACTATCCACAGGCAGATTTTTCTAATACAGTCCATTACAGTCTTCCTGCTCTTTTCTGGGATCTGATCTGGACTACACATTGCTTTTCGTTTTCTTTTATCTTTAGTTTCCATTAGTCTGGAATAGTTCCTTTGCTTTCGTCTTTCATGACTGATTTTTTTTTTTCTGAGGACTGCAGGACAGATACACCTCATTTTGGGTTTTCAGGTGTTTCCTCGTGGTTGGGTTGGTTTATGAGTTTGGACAGGAATACTGCGAAAGTTAAATGGTTTTCTTCTCAGAGCATCCGTATGGAGCCGCACATGATCTTGGATTATCTTACTGGTGATACTGACTTTGAGCACTTGATTAAGTTTATGTACTCCAGGCTCCTATATTACAAGAGTACTCTTTTCTCCTTGGTAATTAATGTTATTAGTGGGGCAAGACTTTGAGATGTGGGAATCTAAGACTTTTCACATGAGCTTTAGTTTTCATCGGTTGTTACCAGGATAGTTGCAAATACTGATTTTTTTTCTTACTGTATTATTCCTTCTATATTTATTAGTTGGTATTACACTATAAAAAACAACTCCCCATTATTATCAGAATGGACTTGTGGACTCTATTTATTTATTTATTTATCCATTCTCACCCGAGGATACTTTTCCATTTTTTGTTCAGAGTGGGAGGGAGAGAGAGAGAGAGAGAGAAACATCGATGTGATAGGGACACATCGAGTGGTTCCCACCTGCATGACCCAACCAGGGCCGGGGACAAACTGCAACCAAGGTACATGCCCCTAGCAGGAACCAAACCTGGGTCTCTCCGGACCACAGGCCCACACTCTAACCACTGAGCCAAATCGGCCAGGGCGTGGACTCTTTTTTAAAAAAATAATTTTTCTTTGTTAATTTTAGAGAGAGAGGAAGGAAGAGGGAGAGAGATAAAGACATCAATGAGAGAGAGAATTGATTGACCACCTCCTGCATGCCCCCCACGGGGGATCGGGCCCATAACCTGAGCATGTGGACATTTTGACTGTTACCCAATTTTTGATATTAAAGTTCTGCCATGGACATTTTTATGCATATTGTCTAGTAAACGTGTACAAGAGGTTCTCTAGGGTAATTTCTTCAGACCGCAACCCATACGATGCTTTATGAAATTGGTGATTTGGGTCATGATCAAGTGTGTCAAAAAATTGAAAGACTAGAGTACTTCACCCAGTAAATATTTTTTATGACAATTGTGTTTAGATCACAAAATATTTTGCACCTTGGCCGGTTTTGCTCAGCGCTTAGAGCGTCGGCCTGCGGTCCAGAGACACCTGGGTTCGGTTCCCGCTAAGGGCATGTACCTCGGTTGCAGTTTGTCCCCGGCCCTGGTTGGGTCGTGCAGGTGGCAGGCACTTGATGTGTCCCTTTCACGTCGATGTTTCTCTCTCTCTCCCCCTCCCACTCAGTCTGAACAAAAAATGGAAAAATGTCCTCGGATGAAGATAAAAAAATTTTTTTTTTGCTTGCATACTATGTTGTAACATAAAAAATAGGCTTGCTATGTCCCTGGCTGGGTGCTCGGTGGCCTGGGTCATTGTCCCGTACACCAGAAAGGTCGCGGGTTCAATGTCCAGTCACGTCGCAACCAGTTGACGTTTGTCTTTCTCTGTCTCTCTCCCTCCTTCTCTCCCCATTCCTCTCCCCTCTCCCTTCCTCTCTCTCTAGGATCAATACACAGGTAAGGGTTAATTAAAAAAAAAAAGTCTTATTGTGGTTCAGGCAGAAATATTTGGGGAAAAACACTGTATTATTGTGAGGAATTCCAGGATCTAGGTCAGTGATTCTTCAGTGGGAGCAGTTTATTTTTTACTCCCAAGGGGACATTAGGCACTGTCTGGAGGTAACTGGTTTTCAGACAGTGGGAGGGGGGAGTGTTGAGGTGAGTGAGTGCTACTGGAATCTAGTAGGTGGAGGCCGTGGATGATGCTGAACATCCTACCGTGTCTCAGGACATCCCCCCCACACTAGTTATCTGACTCAAAATGTCAGTATTGCCAATGTCGAAAAACCCTGATCTCTAGGGTATATGTACTTTCAGATTACTAATTATTCCAACATGTTTTTTGAAAGAGGATGTGTCTATTTTTTATCTCACTAGCAGTATGCAAATGTTCTGTCATACTATCTTGGTCCACAATTGATATTGCAGGACCATAAAATGTTAGAGTGGACAGATGAGATGCTCTTTCATTGTCTGTATTTGCATTTCTCATCGTCAATGAGCCTGAGCACTATTTTCTGTATTTCTTGTTTATTTACATTTTCTAGTTTGCCCCACCTGTCTTTTAGCCATTTTCCCATGAGAGAAACACATTGTGTGTGCATTTGTGCATAAGAGCTTTGTATGAGGCCTGTATATTCTGGATATAATTTGTATATTGTGTTGCAGAATTCTTCTCCCAGTATGTTTTGTATTTTCATTTCCTTTTTTCTTTCTATTTGTTTGTTTATTTTGTTAATCCTTACTTGAGGATATTTTTCCATTGGTTTTTAGAAAGAGAGAAACATCCATGTGAGGGAAACACATGAATTGATTGCCTCCCGCAGAGCCCTGACTGGGGCCAGGGATTGAACCTGCGACCCAGATATGTTTCCTTGACTGGAATGGAACGTGAGACCCTTTGTTCTGAGGGCTGTCACTCAAACCAGCCAGGGCTATTTCCTTTTTCTTTTTAGATAGAGTGGGAGGGAGGGAGGGAGGAAGGGAGGGAGGGAGGGGGAGAGAGAGAGAGAGAGAGAAACATTGAGGTGTCCACATCGTTTGGTTGCCTCCTGCACAGCCCTGGGGCCAGAGATTGAATCTGCAACCCAGGTACATGCCCTTGATCAGGAATGGAACCCATGACCCTTGGGTCTACAGGCTGTTGGTGTAATTGCTAAACCAACTGGTCAGGGCTATTTCCTTTTTGCTTTAAGAGAAATGCCTTTTACTTAAATAGAAACACCCTTTCCTTAAACATTTTGTGAAAATAAGTATTTTTAGGAGTTTTATATAGTGTAAACTCAGTCGTGTTGGAACTTCTTGATTCTTTGACAGTACAATCTTAGCAAAGAACTTCATCTTTTTCATGTTACTTTTACTTGATAGAATTTCTATTTTATGGGCTCTCTTTTATGCCAGAGACATTTTGATAAATTTCTGTGGGATCTCTTTAAGTTTGTATCTATCTTAAGATTGCCTGGTTACTAATAACTAGTTACCAAGTTGGGAGGGGTGGTTACCATGTTTTCATAAAGATAATCATGTTATTCATAGCTGAAAATTGGAATGTATAAAAAATATTTTATTTTAAAAAGGTTGGAGACGTGATAGAGAGAAGAGAGATGACCAAGATGAAGTCTCCAGTGTGAGAAGCGAAGGTGGTAACATCCGAGGTTCCTCTCGAGGCCGAGGAAGAGGCCGAGGGCGGGGAAGAGGAAGAGGCAGAGGAAATGCTCGATGTATGACGTGACCTTTTTGTTTTTTAAATTAGATGAACTTTGAAAAATGTGTGCAAGCCCTCAACCTTAGTTTTTCCCACCCTCTCATATTTAACTAATTTATCTGTCTGGTAATACAGATTGTTTTATATTTGTTATCCCTCAAAATACTCTACTTTGGATTTTCCTTTACAGTAACTATTTTTTTGTTTGTTTTTAAAATAATTTGTGACCACCTTTCTTTTTCTTTATTCATATTAAGTGAACTTTGATTATTCATATGGTTATCGAGAACACGGTGAAAGGACTGATCAGCCATTTCAGACCGAACTTAATACCAGTATGATGTATTACTACGATGATGGTACAGGAGTACAGGTATATCCTGTGGAAGAAGCATTGCTTAAAGAGTATATTAAGCGCCAAATGTAAGTTGATCAGATGTAAGCAGATGGAATGATAAAATCTGTTGCAATAGCAAACTTGAACATCACTGATAGCAAATATGTTCTAACACATTTCTATGTTGTCTAACCTTTTTCTGTACTTTCCCCCTGTGTACTTCATGATGTCATAGATATTCTTTGTAGAGCTATTTGCTGTTCATTTTTTTTTTAAGGGATATACATATTTTTTCTTTATTGATTTTAGAGATAGAGGAAGGGAGAGGGAGAGAGGAATAGAAACATCGATGAAAGAGAACATCGATTGGCCGCCTCCTGCATGTCTTCCACGGGGGATTTGGCTCACAACTTGGGCAAGTGCCCTGACTGGGAATCAAACCAGTGACCTCTTGGTGCATGGGTCAATGCTCAACCACTGAGCCACACCGGCTGGGCTACTGTTCATTCTTAATGTCATTTATAGATCTGTCCATCAAAGAAAGGGGGAGATCTTGTATCGTTTAAATATATAATTGTGTGTACACCTGTGCCCATGTATTTACTAAGTTTTTACTAAGCATTGTGCTGATTATAGGGTTCAGAAGTATTAAACAGTGCCGACCCTGTCAATTCAGAAAACAGAACAAACTGTAATCTACTCTGTAAACTTGATAAAGAATGCTTCCAATATACCATTCTTTTCAGTGATGGGAAAAAATCGGAAGGCAGTCTGTTGACATATGTTTAGCTTTTGTTATTTGGTATTTAAATGAAGCAAGTAATAGTAGCTTTGTAATGAAAATTTTTACTAAATTGACTCATTTAAAAATCAGTGTGGTTTTGTTCAGTGGTTGGAAAGTAGCATTAAACAGAAGGGTCCTTGGTTCCATCCCCATCCCTGGTCTGGGTCATGTGGGAGGCAACAAGTCCATGTGTCTCCCTTCCTCCCTCCCTCCCACTCTATTTAAATATCAATGGAAAAATGTCCTCGTGTGAGGACTAAAAACAAAATATTAGTGAACTTTTAAAGTAAAATGCTAGTTTTATACTTAGGTAAATGTGATCTAAACAGAAGTTACTATTAGCTTTTTGGAAAATAATTAGTATTCTAAATTTCTACTTATGTATAAGAGGAATTATTAACTCAGTAGGATTTTGCTGTTATTTATTTCAATTACAATTTACATGCAGTATTATTTTGTATTAGTTTCAGGTGTACATTATAGTAGTTAACCAGTCATATACGTTACAAAGTGTTCCCCTGATATTTCCACTACCCACCTGGCACCAAACCCAGTTACTGCAATATTATTCCCTGTTCTATAGTTTACATCCCCATGACTTCCAGTTTTGCAACTATTAATCTGTACTTCTCAGTCACTTCACCTTTTATACACAGTCCCCCAATCACCCTCCCCTCTGAGAACCATCAATCTGTTCTTTGTATCTCTGAGTCTGTGTTTTCCTTTTTTTGTTTTTGTTTTCTTTATTGATTTTAGAGAGGGAGGGAGAGATAGAAACATCAATGAGAGAGAACATCAATTGGCTGCCTCCTGCATGCTCCTAAGTGGGGATCAGGCCCACAACCCAGATATGTGACCTGCCTGGGAATCGAACCGGTGACCTCTTGATGCATGGGTTGATACTCAACCACTGAGCCACACTGGGCGGCCTGTTTCTGATTTGTTTGTTCATTTATATTGTTCTCTAGATTCCACATATAAGTTCTATTATTTCTTCTATTTGCCCTGTGTTGTATAAATTTATATAATGTTATTAAAATAGTTTTAGCAGCTGATATTATAAACGAGATATTTTTATTTTCTGTTGAATAAATGGATGAAGTTTATATTTATTTCCTTATTTCTCTTTTTAGTGAATATTACTTCAGTATAGAAAATTTGGAACGGGACTTCTTTCTTAGGAGAAAGATGGATGAACAAGGTTTCTTGCCCATTTCCCTGATTGCTGGTTTCCACCGTGTTCAGGCTCTCACTACAAACCTTAATCTCATTCTAGAGGTAATTATACATTTACAAAACAGATAAGACAGAATGCACTTTCTGTTTATGCTTGAATCTAAAACTGCTGTAAAAAATAAATTCTATTAAAATTTTTAGGGAAAAGCGAAAACATCAGTAGTTGCTTGAGGCTTGACTCATGTTGTTGCATGTGTCAGTAGTTTGTTCTTTCTTATTGTTGACTAATTCCACAGTACCACAGTTTATCCATTCACTTATTTATAGACATTTAGATTGTTACCAGTTTTTAGAGATTATGAGCAAAGCATAAAGGTCTTTGTGTGGACATATGTTTTCATTTCTAGTGGGTAATATTGATGATTGTGATTGCTTGAATGTGTGGTTAAGTGTATCTGTATTATAAGAAATTGCCAACCTGCTCTGGCCAGGTAGCTCAGTTGGTTAGAGCATTGTCCTGATAAGCCAAGATTGTGGGTTTGATCTCTGATCAAAGACACATACAAGAAGCAACCAATTATGGCATAAATAAGTGGAACAACAAAATCAGTGCTTCTCTCTCTCCCTCCTTCCCCTCTTCTCTCTCACCCCCCTCTCCCTTCTTTTCTCCCTCCGTCTCTCTAAAATCAATAAATTAAAAAAAGAAAAATTGTCAACCTGTTGTCCAAAGTGGATTTGACCATTTTGCACTCCCATTTCATAGGAGGGTTTCACTTGCTCCATGACTTCATCAGCACTAGGTATGGTCAGTTTTTTTTTTAATAATAGTGGTTTCTCACTATGGTTTTAATTTGCATTTCCCTAATGACTAATAATTTTGAGCATCTTTTTATGTATTTATTTGCCATTGGTGTACCTTATTTATTGAAATATCTCATCAAATCTTTTGTCTATTTGTATTGGAGTGGTTTTTTGTTTTTGTTTTTAAATAATAGAATTGAAATAGTTTTTTATTCTGGCTACAAATCTTTTATGTGTATTTTACCGATACTTTTTCCCAGTGTTTGATTTATCTTTTCATTTTCTTAACAGACTTCTTTAGCAAATTTTTTTTTTATCCTCACTCGAGGATATTTTTGCATTCATCTTCAGACAGAGTGGGAGGGAGAGAAGGAGGAAGTGAGAGAGAGAAATATCAATGTGAGAGAGACACATCGACTGGTTGCCACCCACACAACCCTAGTCAGGGTTGGCGACAAACTGCAACTGAGGTATGTGCCCTTAGTGGGAACCGAACCTGGAACTCTCTGGTCCGCGGGCCGACGCTCTAACTGCTGAGGCAACCGGCCAGGGCTTTAGCAAATGTTTTTGAGCACACATGCTCTATGCTTTAAAAACTGGTTATAGGAAAGTACAGGTTTTTAAAACACTATAAACTAGTGACTTGTTATTTGTTGATAGATAATGAGTTCTTGTTTTATGAAAAAAACTTTAAGCAATGTCATTATTGCATTTGTTTACAGAATAGTTTCTGTATACTGTAATTTGAAGAAAATTTAGTGTTTTTCTACAATGTTTAGTTTGGGAGCAAAATAATTATATGGTCAGAGTAGAATGAGTGTTTTTTTTTTTTTTTCTCCTGTATAATTTGTTTTTTAATCCTCACCTGAGGATATATTTATTGATATTAGAAAGGTGAAGGGCAGGGCAAGAGAGAGAGAGAAACATCGATTGGTTGCCTCTCATACACTCCCTGGCCGACCTACAGCCTAGGTATGTGCCCTGACTGGGGATTGAACCTCTGACCTTTTGGTATATAGGACTATGTTCCAACCAGCTGAGCCCCATTGGCCGGGGCTAGAATGAGTGTATTAGCTACTGCCATTGTCAGTGCTATAGCAAAGATCCTGCTCAGCCATCATTCTCAAGTTGTTACAATTTCCCCCACTCTTCTGTAGGAACCTGGTTGTAATATAATTGTATACTTTTTTGGTCTGTTCTTATTCCCATTAAGTCCTCACGCACAATTTTCAGATAAAAAATTTTCCGAATTTACAGCAGTAGGGAAGGAATATTTAAGAGAACTTTTGCCCTGGCCAGTTTGGCTCAGCGGTTGGAGCGTCGGCCTGCAGTCCGGAGAGACCCGGGTTCGGTTCCCGCTAAGGGCACGTACCTCGGTTGCAGTTTGTCCCCGGCCCTGGTTGGTCGTGCGGGTGGCAGCCACTCGATGTGTCCCTTTCACATCAATGTTTCCCTCTCTCTCTCTTCCTCTCTCTCCCTCCCACTCTGTCTGTACAAAAAATGGAAAAATGTCCTCGGGTGAGGATAAAAAAAAAAAAGAGAGAACTTTTGTGTTACTGTTCTGTTCAGCATTTTTTACGTAGTAACTGATGATACAGTAAGAAATAATACGCCCTGGCCAGTTTGGCTCAGCGGTCGAGTGTCGGCCTGAGGACCAGAAAGTCCTGGGTTCGGTTCCCGCCAGGGGCACAAATCACCAAAAAAAAAAAAAAGAAAGAAAGAAAGAAATAATACCACTTTAAAATGTAGAAACATAAGCATAGTGAGTTAGAACAGCATAGGCCTGCATTCACTTAACATTCTGTATGCACCTCCATTTGCTACAGTGTGAAAGGGGTCCTTTTTCTGTTACAAAGGTAAGGCTTTATTAGGCTTTGCAATATATACACGTTGATAAAGAGCATGGACTTGGAAATCTGAATATATATACTTGTAGCTTTCTGACCTTGGTCAGTGTTGTGTGACTTCTGTAAAGTGGAAATTGTAACAATACATACTTCATAGTGTTGTCATGAGGATGCAATGTGTAATGACAGTATCTGGTAGACCCTGGAAGCTCTAAATAAGTATTTGCTATTATTGTTAGTCTTATTACTGTTAATTCCAGGATGTCTTCCTAGTAATTACTCTTTTTACCATTTCATTTCTATCAGCTAGTTCCTATATATATTTGAGTATCCTTAAGTGTTTACTTTCTTTTTTGTTTGTTGTTTTGTTAATCCTCACCCAAGGATATATTTTTTCCTTTGATTTTTAGATAGAGTGGAAGGGACGGGGGGAGGGGGGAGAGGAGAGAGAGAGAGAAACATCGGTGTGAGACACATTGACTGTTTGCCTCCTGCACGACCCCAACTGGGGTTAGGAATCAAACCTGCAACCCAGGTACGTGCTCTTGACCAGGAATCGAACCCAAGACCCTTTGGTCCACAGGTGGACACTCTAACTGCCGAGCTGAACTGGCAAGGGCAAGTGTTTACTTACTTGAAAAAAACTATCAAAAGAAGCAAAATATACTTTAGCTGGTACCTATATTTGTCCTGGTTGAATTTGTCTACGTAGACAAACTTATTAAAACTGTTTACTCCTTTCCTGTTTAAGTTACTACATTATCTTTACCTTTTTCTTTTTTTTTTTTTACGTTGACATATATATTTTGTGATAATGATTGCTCTTGTAGTGGTATTTATTATATCACGTAATTATAGTATGATGTTGTCACTTATAGCCATTGTACTGCGCATTAGCTCTCTGTGGCTTATTTAGTACCTGTTGCAAGTGTGTACCCTGAAACCACTTCAGTCTCGTCTCTCCCACACTTTGGCAATCACCATTTACTCTTTTTTTTGAGTTTGACTTTTTGGGATTCCACATATAAGTGGTCATCATGTAGTGCTTAATCTCTGTCAGACTTATCTCACTTAATGTACTTAGGGTCTGTCCATGTTGTCACAAAAAGCAGAATATTCTTTCTCTTGGCTAGATAATATTTTGTTGTGTATGCATATCACATTTTAAAAATTTATTCGTCTGCTGGTGAGCACTGAGGTTGTTTCCATACCTTTTTACTATAAATAATGCTACAATAAAAATAAAAGTGCATATATCTCTCTCGGGTCCTATTTCTATTTCCTTTGGGAATATACCCAAAAGTGGAATTGCTGGGTCATATGGTAGCTCCAGTTTACTGCATTCTTGATTCGTGCTCCACTACTGAGAGCTATTTTCTGTCTTTCTTTTTTTGTTACATCCAGTTGATCCCAGCTCTGTAGCAATCAACTGTATAAACATTCAAGTTACTTAACCTCTTTATGCTATAATTTTCTCATTGTTAAAATGGAGCACATAGCCCTGGCTGGTGTGGCTCAGTCGGTTGAGCGTTGTTCCAGGCATCCAAAGGTCGCTGGTTTGATTCCCAGTCAGGGCACATTCCCAGGTTTTGAGTTGGCACGTAAGGGAGACAACCAGTTGATGTTTCTCTCTCTTCCCCTTCCCTTCCTCTGTGTCTAAAGTCAATAACATATTGAAAGATAATAAAATAAAATAGGGCATGTAATACTTAAGCTACCATAGAGTATGAGGACATAGAGGAGTAACAAATATAATATCTGTTGAGTCTTTAGAACTCTGCCTGCTGCTCTCATCTGAAACCTTAATTTCCAAATTAGCTGACCTGTGTTTCCTTAGATAATGTGCTGCTCTCTTATGTGTTGGTCTTTGCATATGTAAGAATTTCTCTTAATTCCAGCCATAGGACCAGGAACTGGGGATATAACATCTATGTATTCTAGCAGTGGTAGTTAAGCATAATACTAGGTATAATTAAGAAAAGGAACAAAATAATAGCTAACCTGTAAAAAAACCTCAGTACTCAGAAATATTGAGTGTAGACTAGAACTCATTGTTTAGTTCAGGATAACCAAGGTTTGGTTTTAATAAAAAAGGTCTAATTCTTGTTTTGTCTCATTGCTTTTATTAATTTTGTGTGTGATATGTGCATGATTATTACATGGTCTGAATTATGACTATTCTACTTTCTGTTCTTTTTATTTTCTTATTAATTTTTTTCCAATAGGGAATAAATTTTCTTTAAAAAGGGTATGTAGTGAAAATGTCCCATCTTTCACCAGTAGTAAACTAGTTAAACTAACTTCCTTGGTAACAGTCAGTGTTACTTCTATTTTGTGTATCCCTCTGAAGGTAGTTTATACTGTATTGCATACACTGTTATATTGCCCTTCCTTTTTTAAACATAGCATGTTTTGGAATAGCATTCAGTAACTATATATAAAGAACTTGGAGCTTTTTCTCCCCAAGTATTTTTTTCTTTAAATTGAGGCATAATTTATACAGTATATATGTTAGAAATCTAAAATTACAGATGACTCTTGCTATGTATATACCTGTGTAACTTCCACCTCGATTAAGATATGGAACATTTTCAACATCCCAGAAAGCTCCCTCGTGCCCCCTCCTAGTCAGGACCACTGTTGTCCTCAAAGAGAATTGCTTTTCAAAGCTCTCCCTCACCTGCTTTTGAAACTTCACATAAACAATTATTTGTACTCTTTACATCTGACATTTGCTCATCATTTGTTAGGTTTATCCACTGTTGGTGTGTAGCCATTGTTTATATTTTTGTGTAGTATTCCATTATATTAACACAGCTCAATTTATTTTTTCATACTTCTGTTGATAAATATGGAGTTCTTTTTTTTTTATCCTCACCCGAGGACATTTTTCCATTTTTTGTACAAGATAGAGTGGGAGGGAGAGAGAGGAAGAGACAGAGAGAGAGAAACATCGACGTGAAGGGACACATCGAGTGGCTGCCACCGCACGACCAACCAGGGCCGGGGACAAACTGCAACCGAAGTACGTGCCCTTAGTGGGAACCGAACCCGGGTCTCTCTGGACCGCAGGCCGATGCTCTAACCACTGAGCCAAACCGGCCAGGGCTGGAGTTCTTTTCAGTGTGAGTCTGTGATTTACTGTTGTGAACATTATTATTATTATTATTATTATTTTTATTATTTTTAATCCTTACCCAAGGATATTTTTCTGCTTTTCATTAGAGTGGGGGAGGGGGGAAGAGAGAGGGAAACATCAATGAAAGAGAGAGACATCGCTTGGTTGCCTCCGGCACAAGCCCCGGATCAAGCATGCAACCCAGGTATGTGCCCTTGACTGGGTATCGAACTTGCAACCCTTTCATGCACAGGATGACCCTCTAACCACTGAGCAACACTGGCCAGGACACATTTATTTTTGAGAAACCCCATAGCCTAGTCTAGTGGCTAAGACTTTTACTGGTGGACAGATAAATTATATGAGTCCTGTTATTAAGTCATACTAAATCTGTGTTCTTTATCAACTTAGCATAGTCCCCCCTTTTTTCTGGGGATATGGTCCAGGATCCCCAGTGGATGCCTGAAACTGCAGTTAGTACCATACCATGTATGTTGTATTTGCTGTGTTTTTTCTTATACATGCATACCTTTTCACTTTAAGGAATTACTTTATGGTTTCTCTTTGGCATTTTTGAATTGCCAGCATCACTACTCTTGGTTGGTTGTTTTCTTTATTGATTTTAGAGAGGAGGAAGAGAGAGGGAGAGAGAGATACATCAATGAGAGAGAACGTTGACTGGCCGCCTCCTGCATGCCCCCCACTGGGGATTGGCCCCACAACCTGTGCATGTGCCCTGACTGGGAATCGAACCGGTGACCACCTGGTGCATGGGTCAATGCTCAACCACTGAGCCACACTGGTCGGGCTGAGAGAGACAAAGGAAGGGAGAGAAACATTGATGTGAGAGAGAAACGTCGATTGGCTGCCTCCTGTATGCCCCCCCCCACCCCCACTGGGGATTGAGCCAGCAACCCAGGCATGTGCCCTGACTGGGAATTGAACTGGGACCTCTCAGTCCATGGGACTATGGTCAGTCCACTAAGCCACACCAGCCAGGCAGTACTCTTGTGCTTTGTTTCCATTATTAAGCAAATAAGGATGACTTGCAACAAGCACTGTAATAGTGGATCTGATATTGCAGATGGCTACTAAGTGACTAATAGGGTGCATATGCTGGACAAAGGCACAATTCACATCTAGTGTGAGATCTCATCATGCTACTCAGAACTATATGTAATTTAAAATTTATGAATTGTTCATTCCTGGAATTTTTTATTTAATATTTTTGGACCACAGTTGACTACAGGTAGTGAAAATGGCAGAAAGCGAAGTCTCAGATAGAGGGGGGACTGCTGTACTTTATTGCTTTGAGCCTTAGTGTCCTCACCTATGAAATAGGAGTAATTTTTAGAATATTTAGGTCATTGGAAGTAAGGGTGTGCAAATAAAATTTTCAAATTAAAGTTGTTTAATAGCTCAAAATTTCTGTTTATAGGCACTGAAAGATAGCACAGAAGTGGAAATTGTGGATGAGAAAATGAGAAAAAAGATAGAACCAGAAAAATGGCCAATTCCAGGCCCTCCTCCACATAGGGTGCCACAGACAGACTTCTCTCAACTGATTGACTGCCCAGAGTTTGTGCCCGGCCAGGCCTTTTACTCACACACAGGTAACAGCTTTTCTTCTAGCACGGACAGCGTGGCAGTGGGTTTTTTGGTGCGATTTAACTATCTTTTTAAAGTTTATTTAGATTCAGTAGGAGAATGAAGATAACTAAATGACTTTTGATGCTCTAAATTTGTTTTATATTGCCTCCCACACAGAGCTATAAATTAGAGATTTAAGAATTACGAGTGAAGCTCTGCTCTGTTCTTAAATTATTTGTGTACTTTGTCATGTGTGGAAGTTGTACCTATCTTCTTTTAGTTTTACCAAATGATTATAGATATATTGTGCCAGTTTTCCCTTTGTAAACTTGGAATAGTCCAGTAGGATTGGAATTATCTTAAAAGCCTATACTCAAGAGTGGGGTAGATTTCCTTTAATTTTCTTACGGATGTGCTTCAACCTTGTCTTGAAAAGATAGGTGACCTACCTATATTCTAATGAAGAATTGGGGTTATTTTATGAAGTTATTATAATTATTGCTTAAAGAATTGGTGGTATTTAGAATTTCCAAAAACTGCTTTAATGTTAAGATTTTTTTTTTTTTCCTGGATCATTTTTAAGACATTCCCTCTTGGGAAAAAATATGTGTGCTTAAACTTTTTTCAGTCAGGGTGATGATCTACTGATGCTCTTGGATGTCATTTGATCGGAATATGCAGAGGAATAGGTGACTCACTGAAATATCATTATAAATATTGGAACAAATCGTGCTGCAGAAATGAAAGCGACCAGAGTCACTTCTGTGCAAGAATGTCTGCTTCCAACTCCTTGTGGAGGAGGTTGGGCCAACACTACAGTGGAGATAAACACACCTTTGTGATGATGATGAGACAGACCAGAGGACTGCTGTTGTTTTTATAGAAGCTGCCCATTTGTGTGTAATTAGCCTGGGCTGCATGTGCTACTTTTTATTCACGGTGGGAAAGTTAATTTTCATTCTGGAAATATTACAAGATTCTGTCTTTTCTTTTTAGACTTATGTACTTGTGTCCAGATCAATAAAGTAGAAATAGAGAGGCTTGAGTGGCATTTTCCAGATTGTTAGGTCTTTTGCTATTTAATTTGCCCTTCAGTATAGTGTACATTGTATAACTCACATGTTGTCATAATATTTCACATGGACTTTAAGATTTATTAATGTGGACACTAAGGGATAAGAAATTTAAACGAAAGTATTTTTTTTTTTTTTTTGCTTTTTAAAATTTATTTTTGATACACTAGTATGAGATACCTGCCATCAAAAAGCACTGATGGATAGTCTCACAGATATTTTTATTTATTGTTTCTTTGATTGTCAGCCCTCTGTGCCTCTACACCTGAAAAGCAACTTGGGCAAGTGTTTTAAAACTTGAAGAATAGTGACATTTTTTAGGTTTTTTAATAAAGATATGATGTCTGTATAAGTTAGATTAATTTATTGTGTAAATATGGGGTCCAAGATAACATTTTTAACCTGCTTATGAACAGGCATTAGTTGAGTTAGATAAAATAGAAAACATTTCTTCCACAGAGTAGGTAAGATAGGTCAGTGAAGTTGTTGATGCCTGTCCATTAGCCATTTATGCATTATTAATAAAATTACAGGAATAAAACCCCAATGTCTCGTAAATGTTGTGTTTTTTTAATATACACTCATTTACATGCACATACACATCGCCTGAAAGAAGTCTATCTATATTTAAAATGTTAAAATGTTTAGGTTCTTTAGATTATGCATCAAAAGCCAGATGGATAATGAAGGTGTTATCGAAAGATGGAATGCCTTCGAGCTATGCTGATTCACATTACATCATAGGAATAATTATGTAAATTTAGCCTTTGCCTGTGAATACCCAAATTTCTGACCCTAACAATTCTCCTCTCATAAGAAAGGCTTTGTTTCCTAAATTCAGTAGAGTACTGTCACCAAATATTTGAAATCGAAATAAGGGATAGAAATTTAGATTGTGTTTATCTGTACCCATGTGTAGAGAAAAGTAGTAAAACTTTAATCTATATCCTTTTTACTCAAATGATATAACCTTGCATTTCAAAAAAATATAATCCTTGATAATATACTTTCTAAGGGATTTGTGTGGTAAAGTATTTAACAATTTTGGTGCTTTTCATAAAAAAAAAATTAAAATTTCTATTTTTCCCTCTATGGAGCTTGAATTGTCTAACATGGATTGACCTTTGTGCTGAACAGAGGACCTTAATGCACCAGAAAAGGTTGATTATGGGAATGGTAAGGTGTTTTGAAATTTAGGTTTTGCAGTTCTATGGATATAGTATTGCACTATCAATAGTAAAAGGATTTCATTCACCAAAATTGAGAGGTCAGGTATCTGACAATCTTGTTTGTTTGCTTCTGTTTGGCTTTAAAACATGTGTAGGATTTTCCCTAGTGATTAGTAAACTGTGGGATTTTTTTTGAAATGTTTATCTACAGAAATATTCTTGAATGTGCCACACATAAAGCATATAATCATTTTAAAGCAATCTCGGTAATTACCCAGAACTGTAATTCAGAGTGGATAAAATAGTCATGCCAGGTAAATATCATGGAATATGTATATGGTGGGGCAAAAGTAGATTTACAGTTGTTAATTTGGAAAATAATACAATGGTTTAACAATGATACTAGGAAAAACTGTTTCACATACTCACAAGTGTAAACCTACTTTTGCCCCACCCTGAATATATGGTGATTTATCTCTGGGGAGTCATGTGGACAATTTTCAATTAATGAAAATAGCAACAATATATTTTTTTTTCCTGTTGAGTTCATACAAACTAGAAGCCATAACTGTCCAGTGTGTCTAATTTTTTTGTCTATAAGTTTAATGTGGAATAATCCCAGTCATATTCAAATTCACTTGGCCTTGGAAGATTGGGGCTTCAATTTACACACATACATAGTTTGAAATCTTTTCATTATATAAGCAGATAAAATCACACAAAGCAGATGTATAGCTTAGAAGGTGAACCCCCTTTAAAAACTAAATTTTCTTGTCTTACCCAATTTCTTTGATATTTTAATGTCATTTAATTTATAAGCACATGCACTTATATAGTAAAACACTTCATAGTAGAAACATTCAAGCTTAAAGAGCAATTAGAGATTATTGTATAGTAAACTTAAGTAATTGTTTAAAGATTAAATATCTATGTTAAAAATAGTAGCAACTGATTTCCCTAGCACATGTCAGGTGTTCTAATTATGAATGCACTATGCAAAATGGTAATTTACTTAATTCTTACACACTTTCTAGGATGGTGGTTCTGAGTCTACTTTTATTTTTTAGAGAGAGGAAGGGGGAGAGAGACAGAAACATGCATGTGAGAGAGAAACATTGATTGGCTGCCTCCTGTACGCCCCCTACTGGGGATCGAGCCTGCAACCTGGGCATGTCCCCTGATGGAGAATCAAACTGGGACCTCTCAGTCCACGGGACGAAGCTTGATCCACTGAGCCACACTGGCTGGACCTGAGTCTACTTTTAAAGCTTTGTTCACTGTGTGAACATAAATGATTCATAGTATTAGGAATAGGGTTCTCTATAACTTGAATAATACTGACATCCCAAAACTAGTATTTTACTTGTCCTACTTTTGTGGATCAAGTGATGATACATATAGACTGTTAATTAAGGAACTTGTAGAGTAGCACTGTTCAATAGAAATATGTTTACCATACACGTAATCCTAATAATTTTAATAGCCTTAACAGCTACAAAACAAATGAAATTAATTTTAGTATTTTAAACATTTTAAGAGATCTAAATATTACTATAACATTAGTATAAAAATTATGGATATATATATATATATTTTTTTTTACCATGTCTTTGAAGTCTTTATCTTCAGATGGGGGGGGAGGGGATGAGAGCAAGACAGAGACAGTGACAGAGAAAGAGAAACATAGATGTGAGAGAGACACACATCGATTGGTTGCCTCCTGCAGGACCCCGACCAGGGCCTGGGATGAACTGCAACCAAGGTATGAGCCCTTGACCAGAAGCAAACCAGCAAGTCTTCGGTCCACAGGCCAGTGTTCTAACTGCTGAGCCAGACCGGCCAGGGCAATAATTTTTGACTTTTGGAAAAGAAATTTATAAAGGAATCAGTTTGGATTTTACTAATGAGTGTAATTTGATTAAAAAGTATAGAGAAAGGCATTTTAAATTCCAACAGAGTTTTAAAAGTTACTGCCAGGGTAGTGCGTTTTAATGATAGGACATTGTGCTCTCTATTCAGTATGAGTTAAGTGGGCACACTGCACATAGGTAAACTTTGTCAAGCAAAGGAAATGTGAAACATAGGAGTATTGACCATCTTAGTATAACTCCTAGCAGAGCAATGCAGGACTAATTTTTGCCCAGAATAAAACAGGTAGTCTTACTGGCTTAATAGCTGTACAATTCCATAATTTCATTATAATTAATAGATTTTAATATGAGATTTTACAGAGAATTTACTCCCAAATAGATCTATTGTGATAGTGACTTTTGTTGATATTCTTCAGAAGTTTTGAATGACTGTGGTCTTTGAAAGGGTTGGTGATATTGTTTGTTTATTCATTGGTTTCACCTGAATACATTTTACAAGGTCTTCAGGTTTGAAATAGTTGGAAAGGTTATATGATTGATCATGTGTTGTGAAAAAAGTCAAGCCCAAGGAAAAAATGAAATGTTTTATAAGTAATAAAACTATTATTTTAACTATAGAACTAACTTAAAATTTTTAGAGTCAGCCCCTAATTCTCCAAGAATTGGAAGTCCACTGAACCCAAAGAAAAATACTGAAACAAGTAATCTTCAAGCAACGTCTAGAGTTCTATCTACCAGTTTGCCTGACCTGGACTCAGAACCTTGGATAGGAGTAAAAAAGAGACATCGTGCATCCCCAGTGAAATTGAAGGTAAGTTGGTATAAATCAAGTGAAGTATGATACATTGTAGTGGAGTGTTTGTCAGGTACATATATAAAATTGGGAAAAGTTATTAGAAATTATAAAAATTGAAACCATTGGCCTTCACTAAAATCTTGTGGTTTACTCAGTAGCTAAAAATGGTAGCTAAAATATGGTGTCAACTTTTAAAATTTCTCTTTTCTGGATAAGATTTGGCTTTTTCACTTGAGACCAATTTAAATTTAAATAATTCAGTTTTTAAACAGCTGACCATCTAAAATTTGATTTTATAACCTTGTTGTATATTATTTGAAACCTTGTTAATTATTTGTCCAATTCCTACAAATAACTATTTGTAAAGGGTAAATATCATCCGAATTCCAAAACAGCAGTGGAGTGAATGGAAGCTACACAGACCGTCTCCCGGGACCAAACTGGAATTACAACTAAAATAAAGACAAATTGTTGGGAAAAAACAACTGAAAAGCAGCTTGCAAGAACCATATAACCAAGGACACTGACTCGATCCTGGTAGGACGGCAGAGGCGTGAAAAGGGGGCTGGGAGCCCACGGTCGGCAATGGCCTTAGCTGGGAGCAGCGCTCTCGGGGTTACACTCGCAAGCAGCTCCACAGTGCAGAGCTGGGACAGATGCTGAAATAGCCACAGCCATTCACCTTGGGCTCTGGCAGAGGGAAGGCGACTGGACAGGAACTGTGTGGGGACACTCAGGATTTGGAGGGAGCTCAGAGCTTTTGCTGAGTTGCAGCCACACAGGACTGTGGCCATCTTACTCCTTCCCAGGGCCCTGGGGAGAGGCGGCAGCCCCTCCGCCAGAGATCCAACCCCACTGGGTGGGCCATTGAAATGCAAATTGAGGCTCATTAACAACCAGCATGAAATCCCCTTACACTGAGCACCTGAGGGAGTGTTTCATTCAACTGAGAACCAAAGGCTCTTCAAGTAACTGCTACGGATAGCCTCCAGGCAAAAAGCCAGAGGATAACTGAACCATTCCTGGGCTAGCAACTCTAACCTGGAAAGTAAGACTTGACAGTGGTGTTTAACATGGATCCTCCCTTGCTCATCCAAACATAGGAGAGGGAGCCACAAACAGCACAACACCAACATCCACAGGGAAAATTGAGCAGGCTCCAAAGCCCCCTGTGATAGCCAAAATGGTGAAACAAAGAAACAAATGCCAAATGAAAGAACAAGAGACCTCTACTGAAGATTAGATAAATGAGGAGCAGTTAAGCAAGTTAACAGAGCTAGAATTCAGAGCCATGATCTTGAGGAAGCTCAACACCATGAGTAAGTAAAGACATAGAAATGTTGAAAATCAACCAATTGGAAATTAAAAACCACTAAAAAGAAATGAAGAATGACTTATCAGAAATAAAGAACAAATTAGAAGGTCTAAACAGCAGAGTAGAGGAAGCTGAGGACCGGAACAGTGAATTAGAAGACAGGGTAGAAAAAAATCACCCAATTAGAAAAACAAAAGGAAAAACTTTAAAAACAGGAAGAGACATCTTAAGAGAACTGTGGGACAACTGGAAACGTATTAATACTCGCATCATAGGAGTCCCCGAAGAAGATGATAATGGGCAACGGTTAGAAAATATATTTGAAGAAATAGTTACAGAAAACTTTTCTAACTTGGTGAAGGAAGAAGGCATTCAAGTTCAAGAAGCACAGAGAGCCCCAAGGAAGAAGAACCCAAACAGGCCCACACCAAGACACATAATAATTAAAATGCCAAAAGTTAAAGACAGAGAGAATCCTAAAAGCAGCAAGAGATAAGAAACAGGTTACCTACAAAGGAACCCCCATAAGGCTCTCAGCTGACTTCTCAACAGAAACATTTCAGGCCAGAAGGGAATGGCACGAAGTAATCAAGGTCATGAAAAACAAGGATCTGAATCCAAGACTACTCTACCCAGCAAGGCTATCATTCAAAATAGAAGGTCAAATAAAGAGCTTCCCAGACAAAAAAAAAAGGCTAAGGGAATACATTAGCACCCAACCAGCACTGCAAGATATGCTAAAAGGACTGTTGTAATTAGTAGAAGAAATAGGAAGAAAAAGAGAACCACACTAAACAAAAACGGCAAATAGGTACATATCAATTACCACTTTAAATGTGAATGGATTGAATGCTCTGATAAAAAGACACAGAGTAGCTTACTGGAAAAGAAAGAATGACTCACATATATGTTGTTTGCAAGGGACCCACCTCACAACAAAAGACTCACATAGGTTGAAAGTGAAGGGATGGAAAAAAATCTTCCAAGCAAACAAAAAGGAAAAAAAAAAAGCTTGGGTTACAATACTCATATCTGACCAAATAGATTTCAAAATGAAGGCCACAACTACAGACAAAGAAGGCCACTACATAATATTGAAAGGATCTAGCCAACAGGAAGATATAACCTTGGTAAACATATATGCACCCAATATAGGAGCACCAGCATATATTAAAAATCTTTTGGAGGACTTCAAAGGAGAAATCGACAGCAATACAATCTTAGCAGGGGACTTCAACACCCCGCTGAGATCACTGGATAGATCCCTCTAAGCAAAAAATTAACAAGGAAACAGAGACTCTAAATGAAGTACTAGACCAAGTGGATTTAATAGGTATCTACAGAGAATTACACCCCAAAACTAGAGAATTCACATTCTTCTCAAGTGCACATGGGACATTCTCAAAGATAGAACACATGTTAGGACACAAACTAAATCTCTACAAGTTCAAGAAGACTGAAATCATATCAAGCATCTTCTCAGATCACAATGGCATGAAACTAGAAATTAATTCCCACAAGAAATGCAAAGACATTTGAACACATGGAGTCTAGCTAAGGGTCCATCAATCTTGTTTATCTTTTCGAAAAAACAGCTCTGTTTCATTCTTTGAATTGTTGTTTTTTTTTTTTTTTGGTCTCCATGTCATTTATTTCTGCTCTGATCTTTATTATTTCCTTGAGAAAGAACCCAAATACACAAAATCAGAAATGAAAGAGGAGAAATAACAACTGACACCATGGAAATAACAAAAGATCGTTAACAACTATGAACAATTATATGGCAACAAATTCGACAATCTAAGCAAAATGGACACATTTCTAGAAACATATAGTCTTCCAAAACAAGACCAAGAAGAGATAGAAAACTTGAACAGACCAATAACAACTAAGGAAATTGAAGAAGTAATCAAGACTCTCCCAGCAAACAAAAGCCCAGGCCCGGATGGCTTCACGGGGTAGTTTTAGCATTATTCTAAATCTAATACCAGAAAAAAGAGACTACAATGAAAGAAAATTACAGGTCAATATCCCTGATGAACATAGACGCCAAAATCTTGAACAAAATACTAGCAAATTGGATCCAGCGATACATCAAAAAAATTATTCACCATGACCAAGTGGGATTCATCCCAGGGATGCAAGGCTTTTATAATATTCACAAATCAATGTGATACACCACATAAATAAAATGAAGAATGAAAGCCATATGATCATATCAATAGATGCGGAAAAAGCATTCGACAAAATCCAGCATCTATTTCTGATAAAAATGCTCAGCAATGTGTGAATAGAGGCATCATATCCCAACAAAATAAAGGCCATTTATGAAAGACCTACAGACAACATACTCATTGAGCAGAAACTGAAAGTAATTCCCTTAAGAACAGGAACAAGACAGGGATGCCCAATTTCGCCACTCTTATTTAACATAGTACTGGAACTCTTAGCCACAGCAATCAGACATGAAAAACAAAAAAATTAAAGGAATCTAAATTGGAAAGGAGGAAGTGAAACTGCAATTATTTGCAGATGACATGATATTATACATAGGAAACTTTAAAGATTCCATCACAAATCTAGAATTAATAAGTGAATTTGGCAAAGTAGCAGGATACAAAATTAATGTCAAGAAATCGATGGCATTCTTATACACCAATGATGAAATCACAGAAAGAGAAACTGAAAAAATCCCATTTACCATCGCGGCAAAAAAATTAAGATACCTAGGTATAAACTAAACCAAAGAAATAAAGGACCTATTCACAGAAAACTATAGGTCATTGGAAAAAAAAAATAGAGGAAGATATAAAAAAGTGGAAGCACGTACCTTGTTCATGGATTAGAAGAATTAACATCATTAAAATGTCCATACTACCCAAAGCAATCTATAGATTCAATGCAATCCCCATCAAAATACCAATGACATATTTCACATATCTAGAAAAAAATACTTCAAAAGTTCATATGGAACCAAAAATGACCTTGAATAGCCACAGCAATCTTGAAAAAGAAGAACAAAGTTAGAGGGATCACATTACCAGATTTCAGGTTATACTACAAAGCCACTGTAATCAAAACAGCCTGGTACTGGCACAAGAACAGGCATATAGACCAATGGAACAGAACAGAGAACCCAGAAATGGACCCAAGACATTATGCTCTATTAATATTTGACAGAGGAGGCAATAGTATACAATGGAGTAAAGACAGCCTCTTTAATAAATGGTGTTGGGAAAATTGGACAGCTACATGCAAAAAAAAAAAGAAAAGAAACTAGACCATCAACTTACACCATACACAAGAATAAACTCAAAATGGATAAAAGACTTAAATGTGACCTGTGAATCCATAAAAATCCTGGAAGAAAATGTAGGCAACAAAATTTCAGACATCATACACAGCAGAATTTTCACTAAAACATCACCTAAGGCAACAGAAACAAAGGAGAAAATGAACACATGAGCCTACATCAAGCTCAAAAGCTGGACAGCAAAAGAAACAACCACCAAAATGGAAAGGCAGCTCACTGTATGGGAGAGCATAATTGCCAATGATACATCAGATAAGGGATTAATTTCCAAAATATATAGAGTACTCATACAACTCATCAAAAGGAAGACAAAGAACCCAATTAAAAAATGGGCAGAGGGCCCTGCCAGTTTGCATAGCGGTTAGAGCATCGGCCTGCGGTCCAGAGAGACCGAGGTTCAGTTCCCGCTAAGGGCGTGTACCTTGCTTGCAGTTTGTCCCTGGCCCTGGTTGGTCGTGCGGGTGGCAGCCACTTGATGTGTCCCTTTCATGTCGATGTTTTCTCTCTCTCTCTCTCTCCCTCTCTCTCCTTCCCACTCTATCTGGAAAAAAACGGAAAAATGTCCTCGGGTGAGGATTTAAAAAAAAAAAAAAAAGGGCAGAGGAACTAAATAGTCACATCTTCAAACAGGGCATACAAATGGCCAAGAGACTTGAAGAAATGCTCAACATCTAATCATCAGAGAGATGCAAATTAAAATGACTATGAGGTATCACCTCACACCTGTCAGAATGGCCGCCATCAACAAATCATCAAACAACAAGTGTTGGCGAGGGTGTGGAGAAAAGGGGACTCTAGTACATTGTTGGTGGGAATGCAGACTGCTACAGCCACTATGGAAAACAATATGGTGTTACCTCAAAAAATTTTAAATTGAAATACCATTCAACCCAGTGATCCCACTTCTAGGAATACACCCTAAGAAGCCTGAAACACCAATCAGAAAGAATATATGTATCCCCATGTTCATAGCAGCACTATTTACAATAGCTAAGATCTGGAAACAGCCCAAGTGTCCATCAGTAGACGAATGGATAAAAAAGCAGTGGTACATATACACAATGGAGTACTATGCAGCTGTAAGAAAGAAAGATCTCTTATCCTTTAAGATGACATGGAGGGACCTGGAAAGTATTAACCTAAGCAAAACAAGTCAAGAAGAAAAAGATAAATACCACATGATCTCAGTTGTGAAATATAATGATCATAACAGTCTGATGAATAGGGTAGACTCAGAGACATGGATGTAGGGTAAAGACTGACAACCCTCAGAAGAGGGGGTGGTGGGGAGGGGGGAGAGATAAACCACAGAACTTATATGCATGTACGCATAACCAATGGACATGGACAACAAAGCTGGGCATGGGGTGGAAGGTATCAGGAGGAGGGTATCAATGGGGTAAAAATGGAGAAACATCTGTAACAAAAATGAAATAAAGATAAATATCAGGTTTTATATATGTTTTGGTTTTGTACAATAGGAAAGGGAAGGAGAATTGATTTCTTGGTGGGAGAGAGATGGGTGTGGTTAGGAAACAATAGGAGAGATCTCTGTGGTAGAGCTGCTGTATTTTTGGTGATTGGATGCACAAATACTCAAAAGTGATAAAAATTGCTCTGATCTAAACCACAAACCCAAAGAGTACAAGTAACACTGGGGGAATCTGAGTAAGATTGATGAATTATGTCAGTGTGTATCTTGTTTGCGATACTGTACTATAGTTTTGCAAGATTGAGGGAAACTGGTTAAAGAATACATGAGATCTGTTTCTCATAACTGTATATGAATGTACAATTAGCTTAAGTAAAAAGTTCACTAAAAATAAACTTGTAAACAGTGTCACTCAGATGATTCAAATATTGAAAATAAGCTCTGTAAGGAAAATCTCACTAAAAATAATTGGGCATAGATGTGGAAAAGGATCAAGAAGGGTATCATATTGAAGGTTATGAACAGGGCTTTTCACACCTACGATCAAAGCATGAAGAAAGGAAGTATGCATCTCCCAGTTTTCCTCTTGACAAACTGGGAGATGTTGATATTTTTCCTTACGAAGGAGTATTTGGCAACTATCTGGAGACTTTTGGTGGTTACAACTCGGAGAGATGCTACTGCATCTTGTGAGTGGAGGCCAGAGAAGCTGCTAAACCCTGCTGTGCACAGGACGCTTCTTTATATACACACACACACACACGCAATTACCAAGCCCAACGTGTCAGCAGTGCTTAATTTGAGAAATCTTGATCAAAGATAACTTTTTAATTAGCAATGGTAGTTAAATGTGGCATACTTGAATGTTCAAAGGGTTTGTTTTATTTTTCCTTTGGGGCATTTTAACAGCCTAACAAAGCTTTTCCAAACAAGATTTTCTAAAGTCCTGATTAATTTTTATAGTTGTCTTGGCAAACCTAGAACACTAGGGAGGAGGACAATGTCCTGGGCTTGTCAGAAATGTGTACGATGTTTTGTTCCAAGAGCTACATTTTTTTCTCCATGTTTAAAATCTCCACATTTAAACATTTCTTTTAAAAATAATGGCTCATCTTAAAATTGGTAGCATAAGGACCATTTTAATTCTAAAATAAAATTCTTTTATTCAACTCTTTTTTTCTTTAGTGCTTATCAAGTACTTCACATTGATTGTTTCAGAATAATACCGACTGATTTTCTTTTTACAATTTGGCTATTAAACTAGTCACTGAGCACACAAGCTTGGTATTACTTGTAACATTGTTATGTGACATCTTAAAAGTGATAGAAAAGTTTTTATAGAAAAGGCAATTTCTTCCTTTAGGAGTCAGCATCTCTACCTGAAGAGGCATCGAATCAACTATATCCTCCAGATGAACAAGAACAAGAAGAACTTGATTTTTTATTTGATGAAGAGATGGAACAAATAGAAGGACGAAAAAATACATTTACTAATTGGTCTGATAATGATTCAGACTATGAAATTGATGACCAGGATTTAAACAAGATTTTGATTGTAACTCAGACACCACCTTACATGAGAAAACATCCTGGAGGAGATAGAACAGGCAACCACATGTCTCAGGCACAAATTACATCTGAACTTGCTAAAGTCATCAATGATGGCTTATATTACTATGAACAGGATCTGTGGATGGAAGAAGACGAAAACACACACACAGCCATAAAGGTAATTGTCTCTGGCCAGCATCTTTCTGCCGATACTATGGCTTGACTGTGTGTTGTTGCTTATATTTTCCTAAACTTCTTATTTTATTTTACAGGGCTTTATTTTATAAAATTTTAAATATAAATAAATTGTATTTAACTTGAAAATATCTCAGAAATATATCTGATAGTCACAAATTGAGAAATAATTTCATTTTATTATAATGACAGTGAAATAAATACTTCAATTACAAAGATAATATTAACACTCTGACTAAAATCCTTGCTTTTTTCAGGTGAAAATAATAAGGCCCTTTCTCTTAAAAAGGAATAAAAACTGGCCCTGGCTGGTTTGGCTCGGCGATTAGAGCGTCGGCCTGCGGTCCCGAGAGACCTGGGTTCGGTTCCCGCTAAGGGCACGTATCTCGGTTGCAGTTTGTCCCCAGCCCTGGTTGGTCGTGCAGGTGGCAGCCACTCGATGTGTCCCTTTCACATCGATGTTTCTCTCTCTCTCTCTTCCTCTCTCTCCCTCCCACTCTACCTGAACAAGAAATGGAAAAATGTCCTCGGGTGAGGATAAAAAAAAAAATTAAAAAAGGAATAAAAACTGAAGTTGTGGCCAGGCCTAGTTTAAGTGCTCATTGCTTACCTGGCTTTAGTCCCCACAGCCATGTGAGTGGCTCAGGGTTACTGTCGTCGCCTCCTTCGACCTTACGCTGTGGTGCAAGCCCTGTGGTAGTGGAACTGGTTGTGGACAATGTAGAAGATTAAACTGGCTGATTGTCTCACCTTGTCCAATCATTACTAGGGTGCTGGGGTGCCATTTGAAACCTTGTTCCTTTTATTTTTTATCTTCTTGCTTTTCAGCCCATACCCCGGTACCTATCCAAGTTGTTAGGTACCTATCCGAGCTGTCAGGTACCTATCCGAGCTGTCAGGCACCTATCCGAGCTGTCAGGCACCTATCCGAGCTGTCAGGCACCTGTCCGAGTTGTCAGGTACCTGTCCGAGTTGTTAGGTACCTATCCGAGTTGTCAGGTAAGGTATGAGAGCGCCAGGGTCGTCGTCTGGCTGTCTGCATTGTTCTGTCGTGAATTTCAGTGGGACAGGTAGGATTAAAAGGTCTTTTCTGGCCCTGGCCGCTTTGGCTCAGTCATTAGAGCGTCAGACCCAAGGGTCTCTGGTTCAATTCCCCAGTCAAGGGCATGTACCTGAGTTGCAGGTTCGATCCCTGGTTGTGCAGAAGGCAACCAATCGATGTATCTCTCTTACATTGATGTTTCTCTCTCTCCCCACCTCCCCTTCCTTCCACTCTTATCTGAAAATTAGTGGGAAAATATCATCAGGTGAGGGTTAACAAGAAAAGTGTGTGTGTGTGGGGGGGGTCTTTTCTGCCATTAAATTGGTCAGAAAACTCCCCAAAGTTAATTATTTGTTTTGAGGATAGAGTATTGAGGGGAAAGTTATTTAACTATAATATGCCAAATAGGAAAGCGATCTTGTTCAGAAATAGAGCTGTAGAAAGAAAAGCCAGCCAGCAGTGGTTGAATAGAGGGACCGGCTATCTGTGGAGGTTCATGTCGTCAGCAGGAAGTGCGCTATCCTTTTCATTTCTTTTTTTTTTTTTTAAATCCTCACTCGAGGACATTTTTTTGCATTTATCTTTAGATAGAGCGGGAGGGAGACTGGGAGGGAGAGAGAGAGAAACATCAATGTGAGAGAGGCACATCGAGTGGCTGCCACCCACACAACCCCAACTGGGGCCGGGGACAAACTGCAACCGAGGTACACGCCCTTAGCGGGAACCGAACCCGGGACTCTTCAGTCCGTGGGCTGATGCTCTAACTGCTGAGCCAAACTGGCCAGGGCCCTTTTCTTCATTTCTTTTCTTCCTGGAATTTCCATCAGTCTTTTCACCCTCTTCTCTCGCCACTGGTTTTCTGGAGACCCAGCCTCAGGGTGTGGTAGCTCATCAGTAACCTGGAGCCGGAGCTGTTTCCTGTGGTCTGCAGTGGGAGAGGAAGTTTGTTTTGTCAAGTATTTTGGTTGAAAGTCTTTCCTTGTGCTATCACTGTTACCTTATCTGTGATACTTAGGTTGTACAAGTAATATCTAACTTAAATCCTTTTTGGAGCGGAAAGAGATAGAAATAAATTCAACCAATAATAGGTTAAAATTGCACTTCCTCCATCCCTTATCCCTCTACCCTGCCTTGTTCGTCACCATCTACCATTCTGTATATTACACTTCTGTTTCGATGACATGGATGTAAGATCTGTGAGGATAGGGAGGGAGTTGTCTTGTTTTGCACACTACTGTATCTCCAGCGCTAGAATGGCTCCTGGCACAAAGTAATGCTCAAATAATATTTGTTAAAATGGATAAGTGAATTATGGGTTGAACATCATGAACTAACCCAAGGAATTTAACCACTGCATGTAATTTTGGTTCTGTGGGAAAATATTTTCAGAGTTCCAAATAATGAACTTTTAAGCCACCACGAGAAGCACAGGCTATTTGTAGGTGATTATTTGCTTTAAAGTGAAGATAATAATAATTAAAGGCCATGTAATGAGTTAATTCAAAACTCAGAGCTTTATGCCCGGCTGGTGTGGTTCAGTGGTTGAGCGTCAACCCCTGCACCAAGAGGTTGCTGGTTCAGTTCCCAGTCAGGGCATATGCCCAGGTTGTGGGCCTGATCCCCAGCGGGGAACTTGAAGGAGGCAGCCAATCGATGTTTCTGTTTCTCTCCCTCTTCCTTCCTCTCTCTTCAAAATCAATAAATAAAGCCCGGCCAGTGTGGCTCAGTGGTTGAGCATCAACCCATGCACCAAGAGATCGCCGGTTCATTTCCGGGTCAGGGCACATGCCCAGGTTTTGGGCCAAATCCCCAGTGGGGGGCATCCAGGAGGCGGCCAGTCGATATTCTCTCTCATCGATGTTTCTATCTCTCCCTCTCCCTTTCTTTCTCTCTGAAATCAATAAAGGGAAAAAAAAAATTTTTTTTAATTAATAAAGAAAAAAACAGATAATCAGATGTGTCAGGTAACGGACTGATTGAATTATAAATGAAAAGAATGCCAACTTGATAGAATAGTTTGATAATCAATCATTTCTTACTTTGCAAAAAAACTTTTGCTTAGTCCAGAGGCTGTATTGAACTGCACCAAAGGATGAGTTTAGGTTTTCTGTTTCTGTCATGTCCTTACTGCTAAAGACAACTAAAATGGCCTGTTAATAAATGAGAAAGCATCTTCTTAAAATTATTGACGATCTGCAAGGTATGTTATTATCAGAATAAAACCATAGACCATAGAGAACTGGAATATTAAAGCCAGTTTTGACCCTGGCTGGTGTGGATCAGTGGTTGGAGCATTAGCCCATGCACCAAAGGGTTTTGGGTGCAATCCCCAGCCCTGGTCAGGGGGTGTGGGAGGCAGCTGATCGACATGTCTCTCTCACATCAATGTTGCTCTCTCTCCCCCTCCCTCCCAATCCATCCTTCCCTCCCTCATACTTTGTCTCAAAATCAATGGAAAAAATATCCTTGGGTAAGGATTAACAACAACAACCACAAAAATCAGTTTTGCCTTAGAAGCTGTTTTGGAATTTGAGCAGTTTGAGATCAGCTGTGCAAAAGCCACTTAAAATAGGGGTAAAAGACATAAACATAGGACCTAACCACAGCTGGGGATTAAACATCAGTCCTTTCCCCATTAAATTGGTACCCAAAAGAAAGATAACCTCAGTGAGGGAGAACTTGCTCTGTCACCTATTCCTCTGGGGACTAAAAAGAATATTTTCATAGTTGTGCCGAGTCGAATACAGATGAAAAAAATTGGCTTAGAAGTTATAATCGTGCAAACCAAATTCACACTATCTGGGTGACTAAAGAAACCACTAGTTGTAAATTTAAAGTGATTCTGGCCTTGCAGTATCCCAGAAACCTGTCAGGAGCAAATGTAGTTCCTTTGAAGACATTCACCTTTATTCTAGACTTCAAAGAATTTACTCAAATTATTTTATAAGGGAAGTGAGCAGCTCACAAAACAGTTTACAAGAAACTGTTCAGAAACCCGCACAGAGTGGCAGACAGAATATATGAAAGGGCCTGGAATGATATTCTGGACAGTCTTTGCTATTATTTGCTACAATTTAAATCAAATTGTATAATTTAACATCTAGTGGATTTTTACTTAAAGCTTTTTAGCTTTAAAAAGTGAAAGGTAAGCGCTGGCCAGTTTGGCTCAGCAGTTAGTGTCACCCCATGGACCGAAGCATCACAGGTTTGATTCTGGTCAAGGGCCATACCTGGGTTGCAGGTTCAGTCCCTGGCCTTAGTCAGGGTCATGCAGAAGGCAACCAATCGCCGTGTCTCCCTCCCTCCCTCCCTCCCTCCCACTCTCTGTAAAAATTAATGGAAAAAATGTCCTCGGGTGAGGATTAAAAAAATAATAAAATAAAATTAGAGGGAACAACCTTGACACCAGGAGAAAAGGAAAATGGAACAAGACAATAAAGGGAAAGGGGGCCTTCAGTACAAAAATAATGTGGTCGGCTTAAACTCAAATGTTTAAGTAGGAGAAAATAGATATTGTCAAAGTGTATGTAAATACAGCCCTGGCCAGTTTGGCTCAGCGGTTAGAGCGTTGGCCTGCGGTCCGGAGAGACCCGGGTTCGGTTCCCGCTAAGGGCACGTGCTTCGGTTGCAGTTTGTCCCCGGCCCTGGTTGGTCGTACGGGTGGCAGCCACTCGATGTGTCCCTTCACGTCGATGTTTCTCTCTCTCTCTCCCTTCCTCTCTCTCCCTCCCACTCTAGCTGTACAAAAAAATGGAAAAAATATCCTCGGGTGAGGATTAAAAAAAAAAAAAAAAAAAGTGTATGTAAATACAGCCAAGTTATATTATTTACATATGCCACATTAAAAGGGTGGGGGGGCAAAAACTTTGAAAGGAAAAGATTGGAAAAATACATACCATAAAGTAGTAACCAAAACCAATCTACAGATTCGGTGTAATCTG